TTAGTTTTGATGACCATAGGAATCTATTTTACATCAAAGCAAACTCTTCAGCAGACTTTATGACTTTGACTTTGTACAATATCTTTTTTCTGAACTTTCTAACTGGAGTTACTAGTGACTTAATTTGGAGACATTGTAAAACATTTATTCCAACATTGGGTTCTATCTTCTAATTGTTAAACCTGGTTAAGGTTTTGTTTTTGTATTCAGCCTTATATTTTACACAACACATAAAAACCCCTTCCAAATCTCCAATTATGTAATGAAAGATGAAATGAAATTTCATGTGAATAAACTTTTTTTAAATAAAACCCTCATTGTCTTTATTTCCAGAACAATTTTCTTGCTACAATACAGACCTTAGATCTGACTATAACTTTTTATTCTCTAGCCCTAGCATATTTAAGTTTAGATGCTCAGACTAGATGGACAGCAGGATTTGTTCATAGATTAAATTCATGAATTCAACATAAAAAACTGGTTCAAGTAAAAGGACACAATAGCTACTGAACATATACTCTAAACCAGGGGTGTTGAACACAAGACCCATGGGCCAGATCTGGAAATAGGAAAGGACTGGCCCACGGTTCCTCTGGCAACCAAAACAGGGCACAGTGGCATATGCGGCCCCCATGTGGCCTGTTTTCAGCCTGTTTTGGCCTGCAAAGTTCTGCAGGAGCTGTCCAGGCTGAAAACCGGCTGTGAAAATGCCCCATCTCCCCCTGGCCAGCCCACAGAGAACTACAATGCTGATAAGGCCCTTGAAGAAATCCCATTTGACACCTCTACTCTTAACAAAGCTGTTCCAGGAAGCATCAGGAAAAGATAACAAAACTAAAGGAGTTAAAAAAAATTCCCATGCCCTGCAAATTATATTTCTGTACTTCAAGTACAATGTTGTATAGGTTAGAAAGAATATAAAACTTGACACCAGTTTGCCTGTTGCAGCGTGAGATCATTCCTTTAAGGAAAGCTGTTTTCTTGTTACCTGGGAACTAATGAATTGCCTTCCCAATGGTGAGGGGTAGATGCTTGGCCATAGCTAGTAAGAGGTCAGTGCTGCAGCTTCATAGAGAAGAGATAAGGATTCTTCCAATATACATTTGCTTTCAAGCTAAGATCAGTTGTGTAAGATTTTGAATATTCCCTCCAACATTTGAATAAGCCTAGCCAAAAAACCTGATTTACTTCAGGCAATTAGCAAGCATGTTGGTCCCATGGAGATGTATGCACCAGGAAACTGGGCATTTACAACTATTTTTCAAAGCAAAACAAATCAAGCCAAACCCAGTTTCTATCCTTTTCTATTTTTTTTTCTTTGATTCACCCTGCCTTTACTTTTTTGTTAATCCAACGAAATGTACATACCCAATGCTTCCACCTCTTTTTCCTACAACATCACATCTGTGAGACAGACTGAGAGAAAGTGAGTGGTCCCAAAGTAAAACTGTCACTCAAATAATAATGGGTCTATATATTGCTGTAAGCCAAGTTTCTTAACGAAGCTATTGAATAAGCTATAATTCCCTAGAGTCACCCAGCATGCAAAGTGGTACATTAGATTTAAGTGGTATATTTAGGTAGCAATAACTATAGTTACATAACACGACATTGCCAAATCAAATCCATTAAGTCATTAGTGTATAATTTATGACAATATCCATATATTCCATAATTTTGGAAAGGACCAGGATCATACTGGGTGGGATGAGGATGCAGAATAGAAAGAGGCAATTCCCTCCCAATGGGTTTTGCAAAATTTTTGATGCAATGTTTCTTCCCTCTTTAAAACAATATTGTGCTATTTAAAAGCTTATGCTACACTGTATTTCCCATCTAAAATGTCAGGAAATAACAGACAGATTTTTGACATTTGGAGTGAGAAGGCACTTCAAAAAGCGATAGCAGGACCTCTGGAGTCTCAGCTTGTTCCCTATTGGCTTAAGGTGTGACCCAGGCTTCTGTGAAAGGCATTTTCAATCCCTTTCAAAGTCACTTATTTATCTTCCATTAGTGGATCTGAAATCCTATTTTGTCTTCTTCTAAAAAACATTTTTTTGATGGTTGCCAATCTTTCCTCTCCACAAAGAAGATTATCAGGAAAGAGGCAGCTTATCCTTGCAATACTCTGAACAGCTACTTACAAATAACTTTGCTAAATTAGATTTAGCACCGCATAAAGCTACTTGTCAATTCTTGACCTAGCAAATCAAATAATATGCATTGTGTTTCATAGTATTTTTATCCTCTTGACAACTCTGTGAAATGGATCATGAATGAATGGAAATTTGAAATTGAATACTAATAATAAAATTCAATACTAATCTGATACTAGATAGATAGATAGATAGATAGATAGATAGATAGATAGATAGATAGATAGATAAAAATAGATAATAAAAAATGAATGAAAGAAAGAAAAAGAAAGAAAAGAGAAAACTCATATTGAGCTAATTAAATTGAATGACAATAACACCCAAAAAGCACTTCGTAAAAAGCAGAGTAAAAATTCTGACTTTTGTTACAACAGGATGTCAAATTATCTGGCTATAAAAGAGGGGTTATCTAAATTCATGGGTCAAATTATCAGTGACATTACTTCAAGTTGTCATGTTTTACGTCTAATGCTTAGAGGTATTTCTTGAAAAATAACTGCTGAGAAACCCAGAGAATGGAGTCACTGCCATATTCTGCTTGTGATTTTTTCATAGTCATTATTTGTTTTCATTTTCATTAGCTGTTATGAAAACAGAATCCTGGACAAGATAATAGTTGAAATTGATAGAGCAAACACATCTTTCATCAAATACTGTATACATCTGATATTCTTGGCTATGACACATACATGTATGCACGTGAATGAAATAGAAAATGTACAAAATGTGATTAAATCTGTATCAATGCATACTTTTTTAAGAGACAAATTGTCAGTAATGTGGGAACTACATCCCACTAATATATTCTTATGTATATGGAAGGTTTCAGAAGAAAGGGATTTGAGAGGCCAATGATGGGAAGAGTGACGGCAGTGGTGGGATTCAGCCAGTTCGCACCTATTCGGGAGAACCGGTTGGTAACTTTCTAAGTAGTTCAGAGAACCGATTGTTGAAAGAAATCTCCTTTTGTTTTTTTCCACTTTACAGGGCTAATCCTGTAAGGAAGGCAGGAAGGAAACATTCTAGTGTTGTTTCTAGCCTAATCTTTATTGACCTGCTTACAGAAACTGCCTCTCCGGTTAACCCTTTTTACATTGTAACAGTTAGGTGAAGCGCCCATCGACCTGAGTGACCTTGAGTTGGCCAAGCCCACCCAGTCACATGACCACCGAGCCCCACCTACCCAGATAGTCATTAGGGCAGAGAACTGGTTGTTAAATTATTTGAATCCCACCACTGAGTGAAGGCCAATAAATGTATGCTTGAAAGGATAATAGATGACTTCCTGTTTCCTCTTCTGATCAGTTCTATATGTGTTCAGTCAGCACTTCACTCTTTTCTTTCATTTTGTTTCCATTTTAAGAAAAATAAGTACTGACACTCATTCTTATAAATATTTGTGTGTTGTGGGGAAGGGGGTATTTCTTGCTACACACGCACACACAGAGACACACATGCACACACAATACATACACCAGGACACCTTTTAAAAGGCATTTTGCCTCAGAGCACACATTTCTAAATGGACTGAATCCTAAAACACAGAGTTTTATGTGCCTCTTGAAGCATTTTTCTTAGCTAACAGCATCAATGTGAAAAAAATATGTGGAATCACTGCCTTCTCATCCTGGGAGTAGTTGAATAGATGCAGATCAAATCTGTTTGCTTTGAAATACCAACTGAAGTTATTCTCCAGAAGTTCTGCAACCATGCAGAACTTCTTCTGCATGTCTTCTGACTCTGTTGTTATTCTTTTTTGTTATTGATTTATCTGTATCTGTCCTCTCCAAAAAAACCAATTGAAAGACAAAACAGAAATTCAGAACATCCTTTTCTGCTGAAACCTTCATTCTGTTTTCTCTCTTTTCCTCCCTCTCCCTCTCCCTCCCTCGCTCCTCCCTCTCTCTGATCAGATGTTGCTAGTGGCATTGCTAGGGATTTTTCATTTAATTTATTTTTTTACATAACCTTGGTCTCCTATGTTTCTCTTTTCTCAAACAAGTTATTTCTCATAATTAGAGGACTGTCGCCTTTAAAAATGAATCTTAGTAAACAGTTCTTACATCATGTGCATGACTGCATACCTACAGGAGTGCTCCTCATATGCTCAAGAATTTTGTAACAATTTGTTCAGTTTTGTATTTTCTAGGCTTTCACCATCAGAATCTGATGATAATCTGAGAGGCGTTGCTTTTCACTCTTCATTGTCCAGGGTTGAAGGGAGAAGTTCTTGGAAAATGTTTCTTTGTTTGTTTTGTTAAATTTATATGCCACCTATCTCTTCAGACTATAGTACTTGGTACACTCCAGCTAATTTGATTACAGTATTCAAAGGAGTTCAATCTGACTGGTAGTTATATTCCATGACAACTTTTTATCATGGGAAACCTTAGAAAAATGGAGTCTCTAATAAGATGACATCCCCATCCCTCCCAAATCTATAAAAGGCCTTGATGCAGTAAATTGACTAATAATTCAAGGAAGCCTCTAGCCATTGTACAACTGCACTTATATGTTTGTAGGTCTACAGCTGTAAGGATAAAATTCAGCCATTCCAATTTATTGCTTCACTGAAGAAGCTCAAAGCCAGGATAAAAAATTATCTAAATTGGGATATAATTGCTCTCTTTCAGCTTGCAGAAATGCTGATTAAGGAATGCTTGGCAAAAATTTGTATTCAATCTTGTAAGAAATTGATTTACCCCAACACAAAGGACTATAATGTATTAAATTATCTACAGTCCAGGACACTTGCTGTCAAAACAAGTTAAAAATTAAATCTATCAACACCATATGTTTTGTAAAAGTATTATTATTAATATAGAAGAAATGATCACATAACAATTTTGTTTTTACAAAATTATATTGAATTGATCAGAAATTGGTCCAGAGTCATAAATATATCCTTCAAAGATTCTAGTATCAATTTCTTAGAAGTAAAAAAAACAATAGTAAGAGTTTCCATAAAACTTTCAATCTAGACAGCCAAGAAAGATTAAATTAAAATAAACTCATGTGAAGTATAATATACATATGCTGCTATACTGACAGCATGTGGCTGACCTTCATCTTGACAGTTGCATAGATAACATATCACTTTTAGAATTTTGGGACATGTGTATTTTAAACAAAATCTGGCACTTAAGAGATGTTATGCCATGTTACATGATCCCTTTAGCTGGTTCTGTTGTTTTGATTTAAAAGGCAGGCTTGCTCATATATTCTTCCATTGTCTGCAACAAAGAATAGTCAAGAAAAAAACTCAGTTATCAGAAGTTGCACATAGAATTCATAACGTAAGAACAATCAACCATTCAAAACCAGATAACTGAAACTAATTTGCTAAGCTAAAAAAAATCACATTATTAATAGACTCATTCTGTTCTCACTAGCTTAATCTTCTCTAGACTAATTCTGAATGTTAAAATTATTCACTTTCAGTACAAAAGTAAAATAAGTAGTTTTGAAATCATGAATCTTATGAACATGAAACATTTTGTTAATAAAATCCATAATCTTTTAATCAAATAATTCTAATGTTTTCTTTCACCAAACTACAATCATGCTTGAGATAAATACATGTCCATCATCTGGCAAAAATTAAAATATAATTAAAAAAATGAATAAATTAAACACAAAATGAAAAAAAAAACGTTCAAAAGGCAGAATCGATGAATCATTAGGTCTTTTTCTGCTGTCAGTTTTCTGTTGTGGCCCAGCAGGAGCCGTTGGAGCTGCCACCAGACTCCAACAGCGAGGAGCCCTATGAGTTGGCCGTGGAGGATATGAAGGACCCTGGACAGGGTTCCGACTCCGAGCAGGGCGCAGAGAGACTGGTTGGCCACCAGGTGGCGCCTGAGCCTTGGACCAGTGGGGAGGAGACAAGGGAGAGTGATCCAGAAGCCAGCAGTGAGTTGTTCCTGGATGCATGCCATCGAAGAGCTACTCTGCGTTAGGAACAATTAGGCAATTACAGGAGGCAATTGTGCTCAGCTGGTGGTCATTAGGCTCCTCTCCAGAACTATAAAAAAGACTGCTTGTGACACAACCCTCTTGCAGAAGTCAACGCATTGACTAAAGAGAACGTAACTAACTTGGCAGGCTGGATTGCTGCCAAGGTTTGTCTGACTTGCTTCCAAGGTCCTTATCTGTTTGTTTGCTTGACTTTCAGCCACCAAGATTTTGGCTTCTTGCTATTAAAAGTACATTCCAGTTAAGCTTGTCTTAGCTTTCATTACTGGACGGAGGAGGGGGTCAGAACAGTTTTCTATGTTTCTATGCAGCCTGGCAACTTAAGCATTTTTTAAAACACTGAGAGTTTCAAGATACAATCTTGTCTCTGGATTAAAAATGGATTATCAGCATATTTAGCATTTAGTCAACAAAATTTGTTTGTTCTGACCTGGTTTGATCTGGGTTCATTTTAGATGCTTCTATGGAAGCATTTATTAACTTACTACCACAACAGTCATTCCCAATACTTTAAAAAAATCTAGCATTACTTGTGAACAAATCAGTCTCAATGGTGTGCTTGTGTCCCATTGAGACTAATTTTACTATGTTACATATTCAGCTGAATTGTGGAACAAATGAGAAGATAGTTTCACACATTATACCTTGTTTTTCCATAACATTATAGGTACATGCTATTATGGATAAGTAGGGTATCTAAGTATTAAGTTATACAGCTGATAGTAATTATAATTATCATGTTGCGAAAAAGAGTCCTACCTCTCTTTAACAGATTGGAAAAATAGTCCTGCCTCTTTTAATCCCTTTTTACTCAATTCTGGCCATGAAAGCAAGTATTTGAAAACACTAGATAAATTAAAGAGTAGGCTATGCATTTTAGTGTTTGAACTGACCATTAGGGATCCATTACAGAATTGTGTGTGTGTTTTGTACATTCCATATTGACACATATGATTGGCCTTTCTATAATCAATCAAGCACTTATATAACTTTTATTATTATTATTTGATTTTCTTGATTATCTAGCTGGCAACAGCAATAATTCTCTTATTCCTTGGGCTTTTCTAAAGCCAGTCAAATATCTGGCATCTCTGCTTCCATATAGGACTGTCATCTGTTTTGCATGGTCCAAAGCATTATTTTTCTAGCATGTATAATTAAGTATATTGTGTGAATATTTGCTCATTCTGTGAAGTCTTTTCTGTTTAGTATTGATATGCAGTCTCACTTCTTTTAATCTTCCGGCCACTAGGTCTTTCTCCTGATTAGCTGGCCTTTGGTTAGAAATTTTATAGATTCTTCTGTTGCTTGCCATATTTCTATGGATATTTCATCAACTCCTATAGCCTTCAAACTGGATAATAAATAACTGACCTAATTTCCAGTATTAGTGGTTTTTATAAATGTAGAGAATATCTTGTGGAGGCTGACACTTATAGTGTACAGACTTTCAGAATACTGCTTCCACCTTTGTTTGATCTTCTTTGAATGAATTCTCATCATCCATTGACATTTTTAGCATGCCAAAATTCAAAGCTGGAACCTCCTTCTGAGTTAGGAAAACTTTTGAAAGACTATTTTTATTTTTCCATAGTTTTTGTTTTGTTTTCATCTTTACTGTTGTAATAATAAGTAGGACAATAATATTCTTTTAAAATGAGAGAAAGGGAGGGATTTGTTTTCTTCTGTCTTCTGCCTTACCTCTTGTAACATATCACCATCTTCTATGGCTTTCACCGCAGATTTTTTGGATGTCTCTTGAACTTCCCCGCCCAGTAGAAATTCATCAAGTATAAAATATGCTTTCTCAAAATTGAAAATAATATCCAGTTCACATACCTGTTAAGGATTAGAGAAATAAATATTTAGAGTCTACTGAATATGTTAAATCAATTTACCTTTGCTACCAGTTTGCAAATGTCAGTGTGCATGCTTCCGCACATGCGCAGGACCTTCGCCGCATGCGCAGAACATCAAAAAGGGACATAATGACATCCGGGTGGGTGGGCAGAGCATCTTGCCACTGCCACTACTGGTTCACCCGAACCAGATAGAACCGGCTGAATTTCACCATTGCTCAGACCCATCAAAACTCTGTTTTGTTTATAAATGCATTTCCAGGGAACAAAGGGTATATAAAATTAAATGTACCTTGGTGGTTTCAAGTTGAAATAATTAGGGACTATGTGACATTTCAAGATCATTTTATGTCCCTAACTGTTGAGAGACTGCAATCCTTTTCACACTTTTCTAGAAATAAAATCCTAGAGTTTGGTTTTATCAAAGACCTTCTAAGGGAAATACACTGCCTATTATTTCTGTCTTTTTTATAGACAAGCTGACCTTTCTTCAAATTCATTCATGGGTACTGTAATATGCTGGCATAATAAACCAAATGAAAATGAAACATATTATGCAATGTATTTGTTTTAGCATGAATTGGAAGTGTATACAGAAATTAATTTCTGGAGGAAGAGAGCTTTAAACAAGTTAGCCCTTCAATATTCGGACATTATATATTGAGTGTTTATAGAGAAGAATATTGCATTAAGAACTGAGGTGCACAAAATAATCACATGTGTAAATGAGCAGTTCTCCCTTATCAAGGAAAAAGATAGGATACAATATACTTCCAGATACACAAGCAGGTTGATAAGAAGTAGTGTTCTTTTGAAGCCTTGGTTACATAGTCTTCCATAATGCTATTACAGTGTGAAACTATTGGCTGTACAATATGCTATAAAAAGCTTTAATTTTTATGACAGGTGGTTAGTCCACTGGCAATATACTATAAAATGACATCATTTTCTAAGATGGAAATACAAAGAAGGTCTTCACTTAGACTTCATCTTCTCCGTAATATTTTAGCATTTTTCCAGCAATAAAAAATGGAGAAGCCAGGTATATGAAACTGTCTTAGAAGATAAAGCAATAACTAATATTTAATAATTATCTATATTTTTTCTGCAGATATTTGCTAGCAAGATGTTTACCAGCTGTATTATGAACTAGTTGAAGTTCCTAAATAATTTTCAAGTTGCCTCAGAAATTATACATTCCAATAGTCTATTCTTAAGAGCATGAAAAATTATTGCAACCAGGTGCAGTATTCTCTTACTAGGAAGGCAGGCTTATGAATTTCATTTGGTCAAATATACTCTATACTACTGACATTATGAAACCTTGGATAAAAAAAAGTTCACATATAATCCTTCAGGAAACAAATGATTGTCCATTAATTTTAACTTGATTTTTATAGATTTTATGTGAGATATCTTTTTGCTATACTGTCCTGACCAGTGGACAACTAATAAGTCTTAGAAATATATAATTAAAATATAATAAATTGCAAGAGCCAAGGTGGCGCAGTGGTTAAATGCAGCACTGCAGGCTACTGCTAGATCAGCAGGTCAGCGGTTCAAATCTCACCGGCTCAGGGTTGACTCAGCCTTCCATCCTTCCGAGGTGGGTAAAATGAGGACCCAGATTGTTGGGGGCAATATGCTGACTCTCTGTAAACCGCTTAGAGAGGCCTGAAAGGCCTATGAAGCGGTATATAAGTCTACTGCTATTGCTATTGCTATTGCAAATAAGCTAAACTATCTCTCCAAATGGACAGATTGTGCACCAAAAGTACTTCTATCTTGTCAAAACCTCAGAATTAAAACAATTTCAAAGTACTCAGTGTTTCTATGCCTCCATACCTAAAGGTAAAAGGTAAAGGTTCCCGTATGCACATCTGATTCTAGGGGGCGGTGCTCATCCTTGTTTCAAAGCTGAAGAGCCAGCGCTGTCAGAAGACATCTCCGTGGTCATGTGGCCGGCATGACTAAACGCTTAAGGCACATGGAACGCTGTTACCTTCCTACCACTGTGGTCCCTATTTTTCTACTTTCATTTTTACATGCTTTCAAACTGCTCGATTGGCAGAAGCTGGGACAAGTAATGGGACTTACTCGGTTGCGCAGTACTATGGATTCGAACCGCTGACTGCCGACCTTCTGATCGACAAGTCAGCATTTTAAACACTGAGTCACCATGTCCCTGCCTGCAAAGCTACTTTCCACTAAAGAAAAAAAAATCATAGCATGACTGAATTCACTTATAGGCTTGTGGAATAAATCCTGATTGGTTAGATTTTAGCCATATTTTAAATCACAAACCACCATTTGCAAAGAACAAACATGTTAAACTTGTTATCAGAATAGATTGAAAGAAAGTTATTTATGGAGCAAGAATAAAGAAATAAGCTTACGTTGCCAAAATATCTGTCCAATAGCTCTACATAACGATGGACAACTTCTAGGGTCAGGAGTTCATTATCTTCTTCTTCTACTGCACAACAGAAATACAAACTAGCATACCTAAATTATAAAATGAGGAGAAATAAACATGACCATTAGTATATATTAAATTATCAGTTTTGTTCTTTCTTCAATTTGCCTTGCACAGTACATCATAAAATAATTTGTCTTAAAAGCACTGTGAAAAGTGTTTATCAGTGATTATGAAAACAAGAGGTGCCATATCAGTTATGTAGATATGAAGTAAGTTTAGAACTCAGCACAATAATCTGTCAAAAAATCTCACCTTTTTCTCTAAGATCTGAAGTATACCAACCTATTTTTTTACTTTTTAACATAGCTCCACATATCTTAATGCTTTATGAATATCAGTCCCAAATAATATTTTAAATATTTTCATATTGGTATAGTTTTTAGGAAAACAATTTACTTCATTAAAAGAAAGGGAAATTATCTCTTTAAAAAAAATCCCACATTCATATCCCAGTATGCTTTTATTCGGCTCTTTCAAGGTCATGATGAAAATTACATGCTGTTTTCTGACCTTGAATAAATGGACTGCTTTAAGGTAAGTTAGAGCAATCCATGTTTATCGATGTCATATAATATATGTGGGTATATGCATAATTTTGTATGTATGTATATATTTATTTATTTTGTCATGTTGATGTACTGTATATTAGTGGTGGAGACCCTTTGAGAGCTGTATGCAATGAAATTACATTTTAATGTATGCCATTTAGTCTACATTCAAAGTGACAATAAAGTTATTCTAAGTCTAAGTCTAAATATCTTCCTAATTAGCCCAGAGTTTGCTCTTGAGTATTCCATGGGGCAGTTCCAGGACATCCTGAGATTTTATCACACAAGTTTAACAGCAGAATTTACTAGGAAAGTACAAATTAAAAACCATGAAATAATAGCAGAGGCATATATATGTAAGACAGAGGTGGTATTCAGCCAATTCTGACAAGTTCTAGAGAACCGGCAGCGGAAATTTGGAATAGTTCAACTGGCAAATAGGCTGATCATCCCATCTGATCTTCTTTTGTTAGCCTGAACAGGAGAACAGAGCTGGAAAGCAGGTTAGTGAAATGGGGAGGGAATGGGGATTTTGCAGTAACTTTCCACCAGGAGTGGGGAGGGAATGGGAATTTTGCAATATCCTTCCGCTGCCATGCTCACACAAAGCCACACCATTCCTACAAAGCCACGCCCACAGAACTGGTAGTAAAAAAAATTGAATCCCACCATTGATATAAGAGAAAAAACTGTCACACATAAAAGCTCTCGAATGATTTTTCATCATATCAGCAAGGGTTAAGGTTGGAAATAAAATGTCTGCTGGCCAGGTCATTGTTTCTCAGTCTCAGCAACTTCAGCTTCCAGAATTCCGCAACCAGCTCTTCAACCACAGTTGAAGTCCATGCATCTTAAGCATGTTGCTGTTGAGAAACACTGTACAAGGTTGTTTGGGTATTGTCACTGACTTGAAAAGGTTATCCAACCCTTCCTTCAGCTAACAGGAATCCCTGAATGTCAATTTTTCTTCAGTATGCTGATACAGTTCCTTTAAATTTTCTCTTTCCACAAGAAACAATAAATTTTTAAAGAAGATGAAACTGAACTCATGTGGTTGTTCTTCAGTCTAGTGAATTGCTATTTATCAGCACTCTAGACTTGACTTACAGAGCATGTACTTCCCTTTTTATCACACATGGAAATGACCTGCAGTATATAAAAAGATGATTTGTAAAACTTCCCACACCTTTTGTAAACAAGCTTGAGATCTTTCCAGTCAACAAAGCTGCTCATTTTTTGATTCCGAGCCAGAATAATCTGCACAATTTCTCGGGTGATTTTTTTCTTTTCCTTTTCAGGAAGTGTAATAAACCATTTCTGAAGTCTTAATTTCCCTTGTCGGCTGAACAGCAGGATAAAATGTATCTAGAATTAAAAAAAAACAAGTTGCTTATAGGGACAGAAGTGTAGAAAGTGCCACAAGTTTTTCTTTTCTTCTAAAGTCAGCTTGTTACCAGGGCAGATATATCCACGGAGAATCTTGCTTGTTACTAATCAAAAGTGTAAAAAAAAAAGGGGGGGGGTACATTTTGCTACTTACCCTCTTTTCCCTGGCATGATAGTCTTCAAATATCTATATCTTCAACATCTACAATTTCTATCTGAGATGGTCAGCCCTTTTACTGCCGCTATGACCTTTGAAAAAAGAACTGAGCTTCCAAAGAAAAGCGATGGAAGGAATGACAGCACAACACTGGCGTGTGTATTATCATAACATCGATGTGCAAATATGCAGTAAAGGCAAAGCATCAACAATCAAATTAAACAAAAATATATACAAAATATCAGACCTAAAGCAAGTACAAAACACATTTTACCTATGTTTGAATTCTAAACTAATTTAGTTTCTGTAAACTTTAACCAAATCCAACTAGCTGTCTTCAACATTTGAATAAAACAAAGGTGTAACCTGATAGCAGGGTTTCATTTACTTTTGGTTGTTTCCACTTTGAGTCACACAGAAAACCTTTCAAAAGATCTTTTTAATTTTCTAGCATTTTCTGCCATAAATTGGACTTCTGCCATGACAATGAATTCATATCAAATAACCCCACTGAAAAATGCACACACCAATGCAATGTAAACTAGTTACTAACAAAATACACATTTTGCTAGTTCCAATGAACCCTTTGCCAACTTGCAAACTCAATATTTTAAAATCTATCATTCATCATCTAGGTAAACTATTAAAAACCACAAGTTTGGGGGTTCAAGAGGGTCTGAACATCATTTCATTCTTCACGAGATGAAGAATGCTATTTCTATCATTAATATTAGAACACCTTCCCTTAAATCTGTTTTTTTTAAATGATGCCTGCCATTATGATATTGTAATGTGAAAAATTCTTCCAATTTATTTGAATTCCCATTTTAATCCCCCTCTCTCCAACTAAATGGTAACCCTATAAGCAGATTGCCCAATTGCAAGCTTATAATTATAAAACCTTTTTGATTCAGTGGCTGAGCTTCAGTTCACCCAATATATTTCACAACTTCATGAAAACAGTACTTGCCACTCTAAGTTTAGCACCCTTGTCACTAAGTTTTATGTATTTTATATTTATAGAGTAGAAGTGTTGAGTTATAAATAATTATTTAGTACATAAGTGGATGCAACTACATTGAAAAATGACAAAATTAGAGCCAGTCCTTGAATCATGGAACCAAAGAATTGATTAGGATAGCTATGTATTGATTTGGCCTTCTAGAAGCCAAATCAATACTAGATCCTGAAGATGAAAGTCAAATACTTTCGCCACCTAATGAGAAGGAAGGACTCACTGGAGAAGAACCTAAACCTGGGAAAGATTGAGGGCAAAAGAAGAAGGGAGAAGACAGAGAATGAGGTGATTGGATGGAGTCACCAAAGCAGTAGGCATGAGCTTAAATAGACTCCAGAGAATGGTAGAAGACAGGAAGGCCTGGAGAAACATTGTCCACGGGGTCATGATGGGTCAGACATGACTTTGCAACTAACAATAACAACAGTGTATTGATTTATTGTAAGTTTTTCCCAATGTGTGGATTACTTTAATTCTAATTTTTCTTTCTCCTTGACATAGGTGAAGCTGAAAAGATGAAGATATCATTTATGGATTCAGTAATAATTTGGATCTATAAATGGATGATGAATCTCAATGAGATAAACTACTGAGTCATAATTCCCAGATATTGAAATTGAATCATTACCAGATATCAGTGCTATGAAACAGCAAGAGCTGATTAAGGTAGTGCTTGATCCAGTTTGTCTGTTAGTGGCCAGAAGTGCCTTTCACCAGTTATGACTGGCTTGAGCTACATGTGATTTGGGTTAAGATGTCTGATGTTATTAGTGCTTCCTCAAGTACATTCCCAGCTTTATTATTACAGAATACTGTTCTTATGGATGTCTCTGAAAATGACCTGGGGCTTTCAACCAAGTCAGTGTAGGTATTAGATGTTTAGCAGATACAGCCAGGTGAAATTACACTAATGATGAGATCACTTATTTGGTTTCAGGCTAATTCAAAATGGGCTTTAACCCTGAAAATATTAACTAGATAACACCAAAGGATGTTTTTTCTATGTATCAGACCCATAAATATCCTAATTCTGCTAGGGAGCCCTTCTCAAACATTTTAGTGTCAGCAAGGGAAGAAAACTTTATCTGCCATGGTGCTAGATAATTTTTGTTTCTATCCTTATTTTTATGGATGATTTTTTTCTCGATATTTTATTTATGTATTTATTTTTCATGTTATAGAAACTTCTTTCCCTAACCTATGGATCCTTTAAATAATGTGAGTTCAACTTTCAGATAATTAGCGTGACAATTGCTAAGAATTCTAGAAACTGAAATCCACATATCTGAAAGATGTATGTATGAAAGCTTATATATCATTTAGAACATATTAATTCTTCAGATTTCTGGATACCTTCAAGTCTGTCTTTAGGACACTGCCCCATTATTTTAGAAAAACAGTTATATTTTTAAAAATTATTTAACAACAGCAACAATAACATTCATATTTCACATATAGTGATCTTATATTTTCACAAGGGGCAATTGACAAAAAATGGAGAATTGGAATCAGTAAATCTGTTTTCAAGAACTGACCTGTATTCCCCCCATGATGCTATGATTCTTTCCCTATGCCTATTAAGCCAATTAAAAATAGAGGAAGTATCATCTGAATTTCTGTGGCTTACAACAATTCTTCCTATCTCATTTCTTTTAGCATTTACTAGGTGAGCATAAAATATAACTAAATGAGATTTTTTTAATCAACAAACAAGTAAAACTTTAGTAATTTTATCCTTGCCTTGTGTTCTGGGCCTCGTTTTACTGGTTTTGAAACAAGGTGTGTTATTGGTTTAAGTAGTGAGTCATTTTAGGGCTCTCCTATTTCAACAAGACCTTTTAGTGCCTGAGTGATAATATTGTTCAGTTTGTATATATCAAGGGCCAATATGAAAGTTCAAAGATGTAATTGGAGAACAGACTGTGCCTTTCTCTCTCTGTCTTTCTATGGCAATGACATAATCAAGAGAGAGACTGTAACCCTCTGATCAATTGATTTGGGCTCTTGTACTTCAATGAGGTTTCTGGCCAATAGATTTAGATTATCAGCATTAAAAGAAAACTGATCATGGACAACATTTTGATGCTATACGTAGATAAAAGAAAAGACACAATTAATGTTATAATAGCTATAATAAAACTATAACTACAATAGCCTTTAAAAAGTAGATTTTCTTTTTCCCCTCCCAGTCACTACATATTTCATAGCACTTTTAAGCATTTTTAAAAGAATAAAATTTTTGTATAATTGTTCTGTTTGTTGACAGATAAGATCCTATTTGTTTTATGCTCTGATAAAAATAGCTCATAATGTTGAGATGCCCCTTGTTTGGAAAAAGGCCACATGACAAAAAGAAAAGCATGTGTTATATTGCTCATTTGTGTGGTAAGTACTATCAATTGAGTTGAGAGCACAAATGAAATTTCATTTTCTCTTCTTGTGGCTGTCAGTGAAATTCAATTTACAAAATCCAGCTGATATACCCAACCTTCATTTAAATATAAATACGAAGGTGGTATTCGTGTCAATCCAGTTTTTAAAATGTTTGTAACATCCTTGCTGTTTAAATATCAAGTTTGCCAAGCTTCTGTTTTTCGGTGTCAATTGTAGCCAATATTTTGAATTATAATGAAGACTTTTGAGTTAGATGCAACTGAAAACAAGAATGCAAACTACCTTGAAAGTAAAGGAAGGGGGATAAGAAAGAAAACCAGCAATTTAATGAAACCATAATTGACACAAAGATGAATATTAATTTATGATAAGTTTAACTGTAGAGGATTCATTTTGGTAAAAAAAAGATCTGCTTTTTCTAAAATAGAACATAATATTGTGTCTACTGGCCTTATTATTTTTACAAAAGCGAACGAAAAAGCATTCATGGCAGCCAAGAATTGCATGATTACCAAGAACTACAGAATCAGAATGGAGTTGATATGCCTTCTTCAAAGTATTTTTCCTAGTAAGAAATGCTGGATACTTCACAATTTTTGAGGGACAAAGAATTGTTATATCAGCAGGACATTTGTCATAAACAATAACCCTTTCTTTGATTGGCTTCTTTCAAACTCTTCAAGGGTTCTTGTGTAGATTAGAAGAAGATAACAAGGAACAGAGAAGAGGGGGGACATAATACATGACTCAGCATCATTCTCTCTATCCATTCTAGTTAGAGATCTCTTGCTTCTATTAGAAGATTATCCTACCAGTAACTCAGTTTCTCTGTATGGAAAATAAAAAGGAATGTGACTATTTGATTTTGCATTGACCTTTCTCTAGCCTTCTGAATTACCGAATTACTCACAAGGCTTTCAAAGAGTTCAGATTCAGTTCAAAATTGTTTTCAATTTTGAGTCTGAAAACAATGGAATCTCTTCAAAGGACCTCAGATCAATTTGTGTTTCTTTGTACAAAGCAGGTTTAGTTAATAAATCAAGCTATGATACCAGGAAACAAGATAAATGTATATCATGTGCATGGTACAGCAAATTATACACAGGAGGTACAAATTTGGGTTCATAAATGTATGAAAAAGAATTGACACATAAGTGAAGGAAAGAAAAACTGGAACAGAGACAAAAATTTCACCTTGATGGGATAGGATACGAGCAGTTGGCAGGAAGAAAGGGAGACACAGACGAAAAACTAAATAGAAGAACGTCAACATTAGAAACTCTTGAACCTCTAAAAGGGGTATCTAACCCAGCGGTTTCCAACATGGGGCCCCTGCCCCATGGGGAGGGAGGGGGCAATTTGAACCTTGTTTAAACCAAGTTAATGGCCTTTTAGGATTCCTCTGCGTGA